TTTGAGATCAGTGGTTGTATTCTTTTTTTATATTTTTATGTTGTTGATAAAACTCAGTATGTTCCTCGTTTTTCAGGAGGAATTTAGTGATTTTTTCTTGGTTTTGTTGAGCAGTCAGATATGGAATTAAAAGTTCTTGATGCTTGTTCAATAGCGGAACAATTTGCATCAGTTTACAATCAGACCTTTTATCAGCAGAGTACTCAATTTTCTCCAAGTTCTTCGGTAATTGCTCAATATTTACTTCATTTATATCCGTATTAGCAATATGGAGTTCGCCTAATTTAGTTAAATTTTTTAAGGGTTCCAAACTACCAAAGAAGCGATTATAGATGTTTTGTTTTATTTTTTTTTCATTATCGTTGCCTATTTTCAAAATCTCCAAATTAGTAAAAGGAGAAAAGATAGACAAATCTAAGGGAGGTAAGTTATTATTCCTAATACTTAAATACTGCAATTTTTCCGGATTAAGAACTACAAAGTTAAGACTAGTTAGTTGGTTATTACTACAATATAACTTGGTCAGATTGGGGAAATAGTTAGGTAAAGACAAATTGATTAGTTGATTGTGATAGCAATAAAGTTCTTCCAACTGAGAGCAATTAGTTAAGTCTAGACTGGTTAATTGGTTATTATAACATTTAAGTTTCTTCAAATTAGTAAAATCATTTAGGTTTAGTTGTCCTTGTAGTTCTTTTCCGATGAAGTTTTTACCAATTTTTAATTCGGTTATTTTTGCTCTTTTTTGTTTGGTATTGTATTCCTCTTGGCTTTCTAGTCATTGTTGGGCATTGACCATAATGAATAATTTTAGCCCTTTTTAACAATTCTTAAATTTAAACATACCTCTGTCCGGTCGTAAATACTTCAAACTCTTCAATCAATAACTATTATAAGTTTTCTGCAGAACAGAAGAATTACTTAGCAGAAATTCTTTCCAAATACTTTCAATCACTTATTCTATGAATAAGTAATCTTGAATACCTTGACACTAATCCTAGATATATCCTTGTCTCGGACGTAAGTATTTAAGGCTTTTCAGTCAGTAGGAATTGTAGGTGTCCAGGTATTTTTTACCGACAAAAATAATAAAGCCTTGTTCGGTTTTAGAATTAGTTCAGGCAGCTGCTTCCCAAATCACACACTGGACATAAATTCCTTCATCGGTTTTCTGCAATAAACTAACCTGACAAATAGCCGTAGTTACTTCTCGCTGTTCAATACTTACTTGCCCTAATCTTTGGGCATTAACAAACAATCTAGTCCCTTGATGCCGACTAAGGGCAATAAAATGCATTAAAAACCTTTGCCTCTCCCTTACATCCTGAACAATATTACCTTTAAAAAGGAGATTAATCTCATCTAAAAAGATGGTTTCAGTGACTCCTAATCTCTGGCTAGGACAGTTAGAGAAGTCTATTTGGCTCTTCTCCGCTCAGGGTAGATTACAAGGAAAAGTAGCATACTTATTCTCTCCTGGTAGTTCATGGGCTAACATGGCTAAGATAGCAGTTTTACCCGAACCAATAGAGCCAAAGAACACCAGACCATTACTTTTTTTGCAGTAATCTAAGAATTCAGGAGTATTATCCAATATTAGTTGACCTTTATTGCGAAAGATGGCTAATAATAATCCTCCTACTAAGACACCTAAGGAGGCTCAGATAATAGTGCCTAAGAGGAATTTGAGTTTATCTAATAGGTTGGCTAAAAAAGTTCCTTGGTTAGGGCGATAAAAGACAAATAAGAGAAAAAGAGGGATAATTAGTAAGAATTTGTAAGTTTGGAGTAGTTCGAGGTAATTGATTTTCTTTTTCTCTTTATTTGACTGGCCTGATTTATTATTCATAAGTTCATTATTTTTTACCTATAATTCCTTCTCACAAAGAAACCAATGCTTGATTCCAAATTTCTGGCTCAACTTTACCTAATCGTTTAATTAATCGCAATTCTTTATTAAAAGTATGAATCCGATTAGTTAATATTCTGCTGTTTTCGTCCAAGCCAGTTTCCTTGTTTGATTCAATGGGAATTTCAAAAGGTTGGATTTCTCCGGGAATAACTTCTTCGGTAGTCAAAGGTAAAGCAATTATTTCTTCATCATAAATATTTTGATTGTCATTGCTAATTACTAGACAAGGACGAAAGGGCTTGCGACTTTCTTTGGTTTTGGGAAATTCCACTAATCAGATTTCACCTTGTTTGGGAATTTTCTTGCTTGGCTGACTCATCCTTATTTATAACTATCTCCTAAGGTCTCGTCCCATACGGCTAAGTCTTTTTTCAGTTTTTTATTTTTGGCCATCGCCTGATAGCCACGAATTAATTTTTTTTGTAAGTCTCCTTGTTCTTTTTCTTGCTCTTTGCTTAGTTTTTCCATCACTGCTTCATTAATAAAATGACTAATTTTTCTTACTCCAGCCACTTGTCGTAATTGGTTATAAGTTTCTTCTTGTAAGTAAATGTTTACACTTCGTCCAGTCATATATATATTTTACTCTCTATGTAGGGAGGGTTATTTATTTTTCTTATTTTTAACTTTCTTTTCGCTTAGTTCTTCTTCCCCCGGTTCTTGCTTCTCCTGATCCAAATCTATTTCTTCGGTTGACAATTTAACTTCCTTAACTTTTTTCTTACGCTTTTCTTCTTTATCAAACTTTTCAATATCTGACGGAGTTAGTTTTTTATCATTCAAACCATACTTCTTCAAATTAGTCTTAATATCTTTAATCCTTTCTCTCTTTTTCCTAACCACTTTCTCCTCCTTTTTTCGCTCTTGGAGGTATTGGAGTAAAAGATTACGATTAAATTTCATACTTTTTAATCATTCTTCATCATTGGTTTCTAGGCCACTTTCTTCTATTACTCTTAAAATTTCCCCTGCTTCTTCGGCTTTTAGTTTTTCTTCAAAGATGTATTTCAGTCAGTTGGATTGGTAATCCTTTGGGATATTTCAATGGGGGTCATAAAAAGATTTGATTTCTTCGTTATCGATGGGGATGATAGTGGGGAGGATGTTATATCAGCTATCGTTGGCTTGGACGAAGAGTAAGGATTTGTCTAAAAAAGTGATGTAAGTTAAGACTTTTCAGGTCTTATTTTTGTTAGTTTGGAAGACTGATTCAGTAGTGCTACCATTGCTAGTTCAGATAAAGGTGCCGCCTAATTTGCCCGCATGAGAAATGTAGTCCTGTAAAGCACTACAACCATTTTCGCCAAACTCTTTTTGGCTTCATTTTTGGAAGGTATCGAGGTCATCTAAAAAGTAATAAAACTTGTGCGGAGCACCTCATTTACCAGAGATATGGATTTCCAAGGTTTCTTTACTGAGAGTGTGTAGATTGCGGAGTAGGAAAATTAGTAAACTTTACTCCTTGGAGGTGTTTAAATAAATGAGATAAAAATCAAGATTTACCTTTACCGGAAGAACCAGTAATTTCGATAAATCTATGCTTAGATAAAAGATTAAAAACTTGTTCTTTTTTGCGGAGTCTTAGAACTTTTCAGATTAGTCAAGCTCAGAACTTTCAGAGAGCTACACCAAGGAGGAAGAGGAAGAAAATGAGGGCAAATCAAATATTTTTAGACATAATAATTAGTTAGTTTGGTTAGTTTTCTTTTTATTGTTTAAATCAGCATAATAGTTTCAAAAGTCTTGTCTTTTTTGTTCAGTTTTAAATATTTTTTGGGTTCTTTGGTTTATCTTTTCCATAGCCAAATCATATCTTTTTTGTTCTTGGAGAGCCTCAGTTAAAGTTATTAGGCCTGATAATAATTGCTCAGTTAAGCCTTTGAGAAGAAAAGTTTTCTTCCTTTTTGGGTTTTTTGTCATATTTAATTGCTGATTTCTTTTTTTTCTATACTTACTACGAATGCTTCGGTTTTTTGAAACTCATATTATTTATCCTCCAACTTCAATAACCAATTAGATAAATACTGATAATCCAAAGGAGTAAGAGTAGCCAACCTAACTCGGAAGTTACCAGCATTAGTAGTTCCTTCTATTCCCCTTTTGGCTAATTGTTGATCTAATTCAGTTAAGAAATTAGTTTGGCGTTCTTTATTATCGCTAGTTTTTTGCTTAAAAAGATTAATTAGGCTTTCTACATGTTTTAGGCTAATGGTATTAGTTTGGGATTGTAACTCGGTTAATGATTGATCCATATTTTGGGAAGATAAATTAGCCGTCTTAGTTGGAGCCTCCTTACTCTCAAAAGCATCCGGATCCAAATTATTATCCGTGGGAATTAAAAAGAACTTTTGCAGAAAATATTTAATGGCATAAGTTTCCGCACTGCCCTTGGCTTTGGCTAAGTCGGTATTCTGTGCCATAGCTCAAAAGTAATAAGTTAGTTGTTCACTGTTATTTTCAGCATTAATTAATTGGGCTTTTTTTAAGTAGTGGACTAATCATTCTTTACCGATTTGTTCTTTGAGAAGGGGGTTTTCAGGGGTAATTTCATCACTAAAGATGAGGAGTAGTTGTTGTTCAGCTAATAAGGGTTTGATGACTTTTAGTAAGTCGTATTCGCCCGCGTAGAAGTATTTTTGGAATTTGTTTTCCCGAGTTTTTTCTAGTTGACCGATTTTAGATTGGATGGAGTGGAGTTTCTGGTAGATGTTGCGGGGGGTTTGGTCTTCTAAGTTTGGTTTTTGGTTTTCGACTTTTTCTTTTTTAGGCATGCTTTATTAATTTTTTTGTTATTATTTTTCTTTTTTGTCATATTATTGAATAAAAATATCATCTTCCTTTCTAACTATAAATAAACTGATGACTTTCTTTCCTTTCTCAGTTTCTTCAAATTCTAATTCTACTTCTTTGATAGTTTTTCAATTGTTAACTAATTCATTTCAACCGCTTTTTACGGCTTTGTTGAAGCAAAAATAGGCTTGATTATTGTTTTCATCATAAATGATATAGTAATCGTTATTATTGGTATCTTTTTTTTGGTTAATGGTGATATTGGTTAAGTTAGTAGTTTGGGGCATGATTTTTATGTTTGTTTCAAATTATCTGCCCTTTTGGCGAGAGAGCGGGAACTCGTATAAAATTAAACACCTTTATTAGCCGAGTTAGGTCTCGATACTTTATAATATAAAATCATCAACATAAAATAGAGGGAGTTTATTCTGTTTGTGAACTTACTCCCATTTTACTCCCTTTAATCCGATTATGTAATTATGAATTATTCTTTTGGGCGGGAGGGATTGGAACCCAAAAAGTATAACATTATTCATCCACTATAATTCTAAAACCCCACTAACTAGCGGGGTCTTTTTTTCTTATTTCTAAACACTCTTTTTATCTCGATAATCAGTAAAAGGAGAAGGAGGAAGGCACTTGAACCTCAAATGATTAAAATGATTGGCATATTACTCATTTTCTTTGGTCACTTGTTCTTCCTCACTTTCACCAACTTCTTTTTCCCATTCTGGGGTGTATTTATTATGTTTAGTCATATTGTTTATTTGTTATATTTGCTACTTAGTAGAGCAAAATTAGTTATCACGATACAAATAAACGACCTAACTAAAAACTCTTGCTAAGTAGACTTTTTTTGGTGGCTGTTAAGCCATGTTTTTTGGTTTGGGGGTTGTGGTTCTTTTTATATATAATTAATTATTATTTATTTAGTTATCAGTTAGTTAACTATAAAAATAAAAAAATGTTTATTACCTACTTTTTGCTTTCTAAATTATTTTTGAGCAGTACTTGCCTTATTTTTTCGCAGGTTTCCTCCGATTTTGCTCTCTCTCTCTCTCTCTCTCTCTCTCTCTATGTTGTTAATGTTATCATCCATACTTATACCTTTGTTTTTTAAATAAATAACCAAGGCTTCTTCAAAGATTTCGACAATCATGCGATTTTCTTGGAGAGCAAGACGACGAATGGTTTGGTCTAAGTCCGGAGCAATTTTACAAGCAAAGAGAGCGGTGCGATTACTACGATTACGGAAATGGCGAAAATCTATTCGTTCGTAAGGAATTTCGGCTTGGGATAGATTATGACTAGCTTCGGTTGGCGGAGTCGGCATAGTTGTTTTTGGTTTTCTATTTTTGATGTTATTTCACTTATTATTTTTATTCATGTTTTTTTACTTTTATTTGTGACTTATTAAATAGAATATAATTTAGTTATATTCTGAAATTTTGTTAATTATCTCATCAATTAATTTCTGGGCTTGCTTTTTTAAACTGGGATAAATTACCTCGGTAATCGCTAATCCTTGGTTTTGGGCATGACGGTAGGAGGCTTTTTCGGTTAAGCCAATATTTAATACTGAATAACCAGCTTGGGTTAAATATTCCCGAGCATTTACTTCTTCACCAGTCGTGGTTAAATGGTTAAGAACAAATAATAATTTTTTCTTGCTAATTCCTGCTTCTTTTAAAGCATGAAATTCTTTCACGGCTGGTTCGCAATCATCAACACTGGGACCAGTCGGCTGAATAATTAAATCCGCTTGGCGGGCAATTTCTAAAGTGCTTTTACTAGTGCGAGCAGGTCCATCAATTATTGTTAGGTCATAATCATTAATTAGTGGTCATATTTCCCGTGATGAGTTAAACATTCGACTAACAATTTTTCCATCATTTCTTAACTTATTTCAATTATAACTAGTTCCTTGCTGAGGATCACAATCGGCCAATAATACTTTCATCTTTTCTTGACTGGCTTCGGTGGCCAGAGCCCGGGCAAGAGTGCTTTTTCCGACACCTCCTTTTTGGCTAATAAATGCGATTACGGTTGCCATTTTTTAACTAGTTATATTTAATATATCATCTATTTAACTAAAACTTAATTAACTATATTATAATTTTATTATATATTTATGTCCCACTCCACCATCCCCTGCGACCGCTGCCACCAACTAATCCAGCGCAAATGAAGTCCGGCTCAAAGTCAATGAACGCCTTTAAACAGTGTGGCTTATTGAGCCGGCATTAACGACCAAACACAACCCGAACTAATTAAAAAACTCAAATACCATTATCTTTGTCGTTTTTGTTTAGTGGAATGATACGAGGAGGAAAAAGAAGACTTTTTCGCCACCGTCCCAAAAACTAAACGAGACTATTTTTATCGTTATCGTTATAATGGCTTTTTTAGTAAAAATGATGTTTTAATAAATAATAAATCTTATGAAGAAAGAAAGTAAATTCACCTTCCCACCGGAAACTGAAATAAAAAAAGTGTTGCAAAGAGGTAGTAAACCAAATTTTCGCCGAGTAAATATTGGTCTAACTCCTAACGCTACCCCCTTGGAAAGAGCCAAGCATGACTTATGTAAAACTATTTTACGTTATAAGCATGACAATAATTTGCGAACCGAGGACATTGCTCAAAAATTAGGGCTGAACTTAGTTAAAACTGAATATATTTTGTATAGTCATATTGACAAACTTACTTTTGAAGAATTATTGGGTTACGCTAATAATCTCTATCTTCCTTACCAAGTAAAAATCAACCTTCCTTATGAAC